ACCTTGACTCCTTCTTCTTCCTTTCCCCCCAACTTCAAGTCATCTTTGATGCCGTTCTTGCAGTGATGGCATGTGCAGTCAAAGAAGTACTGTGTTTTCAGCAGTCTTCGTCTCTCTTCTGACAAATTCAAAAAGTCAACATATGCGACAGTCAGCTCCTCTCCCTCTTCGATCTTGCCTAGAGAACGCAGCTCAATCCTGAGGAGGAGAAACACAGTTAAATGTGGACTTGTCTAATTCATTTAATCTTTCATTTATAGTTTTTGATTGATGGTGAAACCCCGTTCCAAAGTGTTTCTTTCAGTTCATTCAATCGAAGGATTGAAGGGGTGGATATGAATGAATGTCAAAGAGATAATTTCACACTTAAGCAAATATTTAATTCATTCATTTTGTGAATGAAACACTTTTATTAATGTAAATGTTAACAAGTTAACTATAAAGTGGCAGAATATTTTATACATGTCAGGACCATTTTTAGTAGATATTTCATTTGTTCAGTTAATTTAAGTTTTCCCAATTGGATCTTTGTAAATTTGGGATTCCTTTCCACGTTTAACAAATGTGTGAGAAACCTATCCACATGTAGTAAAAACAAAAAAGGTAATAAAAGTCTTGAATGTGAAATAATGATGGATATTTAACTTAAAAAAAAAAAAGAATGCTTACACTGAAATATTGCTTCTGTCATGTTTTATCCTGGTGTTACATGGTGTTAGAGGTGAACTAATATGAGTGAAAGTTAAATGAGAGAAGCTACTAATACACTCTTACACATCAATCTGTATTGGCATGGTGGACAGACACACAGTGCGATCATACATGGACAAACACACACAAAGTGAAAATCCAGCAGCATGTAAGCCAAACTTTGTGTGGACATGACAAGCAGTTAGATGTGTGTGGTTGAGAAATTAGATTTTGGCAGGTAAAGAAAAATGTAAAGAAAAACCCATAGCAGCCTTTTGTTATACTCAATAAAGGTTAGAGCATTCAACTAGCATGTTTACTTGTGTGAAGAGTCACATCAAGCCTATAGTGCACTACAAAGACGTTTATGTTCTACGATGGATGGAGTAGGAGAGAGGATGGAAGTTATGTGTAATGTTGATAAAGCTTTTGATATTATAGTCTCAATGGTGCTCCAATAAATAACACTTAAAAGGGCTTAGGTTGAGGTAACGCACCTCCGTTGAGAATGAAACATAGTATTCACAGCCGATTGACTGAAAGACAAACAGGAAGCAGTTTTACACCATACCTGACACACACACTTACACACACATAATCACACAATACATAACAGCACATAAACACACACACACAAACTCAGAAAACATCAAGCATTTTACATTTTTAATCACATTAAAACCATCACTGAAGAGTACGTTTATCTAAAGTTTTTATTTGTGTTTTTTTTTACTCACTTTCCATGGTTGAGGATCACCGTGCAGTTTGGCCAGCAGTCATGATTCACTAGACACAAATTTGGGAAAAGTCCAACTCCTACTGCCTGAAGGCCCCTCTGGTCACTCACAGTAAAACCGTTACAGTTAACCTAGGAGAAAGAGGGGGCATATTCATGTGAACACAGAGCTATCTCAGAGAGATAGTCACAAGGCAAATCGGATAAGATAAAACAGGGTATGAAAGTTTTGTTTGCCAAAATTTGAACAGCAGAGGCAGTAGATCTTAAAATTCACTACCCTTGGTAGGTTGATTAAAGGTTCATTTGGGCAGTTCTTACGAAATCATATATCAGATATCCTTTCACATATCACCTGAGTACTTCATGTTCACCAGGGTGTCACTATTCACTGGTAAACACTTCAAATGATCTGCACTGCAAGTTCCATAAACTCCACTGTTGTTATAGCTGCCTGGACATGTTGTTAAGCACAACATTTCAAAGATAAATAATGTGACTATTTAACATTTATCATTAACCTGGTACACTGTGTGCCAGCTGTTCATCAAGTTTAGTAAGGTAAATGGCAAAACCTGTGTCGTAAACTCAGGCATGTTCCTTCATGTCTAAGTTAACTACTGGTATTTACAGCTTTGTTTTGCTTTGCTGATGGTAAACATGAAAATATTTGATTTTACGAGTTGACAGGGATGCCTGAACACATTCATTTTGGTCTGATGCCAGTTACGCTGTGGAAAAAATGCCCCGATTTCACAGTTTTAGTCACACAATAGGAAATGTGAGATGGCCAACAAAGGCATAACACATGCAACTCACCACTCCAAACATATGTGAGATGACGTCAATTGTGTGCTGCTTGCTGTTACGTGGCCAATAGTCAAGGAAGTTGTGTATGTCCACTTTGAACTCCTTCAGCTCATCCTCTTGCATGTCAGCAATGTGGTCCTCCAGTTCCTCCAGTGAGGTCAGCTGCATGTCAGACACCACGCTCCCCTCCTTGTCAAGACGCCACATGATGCGGGCCACCAAACTGACAACAGAAAAGAACAGTGAAGACAGACGACTTCAAGGGTCAAAAGAAAATTTGATACGCATTATCTCAGGACTTACAGTAGTTGAAGAACTTACAGTGACACTAACTGTCTGTATTTACAGAACATACATGCCTGTGTTTTTGTGTTAAGAATAATGAAGACAAAACTGATGCAACTTAGAAATAAACATTACACATACAAGATAAAAAAAAAAATATTTCCCTAGTAACTCACTTGATTAAATGTGGCTCTATACATTCATGAAAATCCAGACTGCACCAAACCAGTCTCTTTTTTTTCTGATTTAGTAGGATGGATTACCAATAGTGGACTGTAGAAAGCACCCCATATAGAGAAAAACTAAAAGTCTTTACGTGTGTTTCATTAACAAAAAGAATCTAAAACCAAGTATCATGTAACACCTTTCTATCACTCCCTACTTCCATTTCCTTCTACTTACCGGATGTTCTCATTCGGTACTTTGCCATAAGCTTTGATGGCAGCACATTCTTGCTTGTGTTCAGCCCAGCCGGCCCGCTGGCAGGTTCGGTCACAATAATGAGCAAATTTGCACTGGCCGCACCTCTGTAGCTTCTCTTGTCTGCGGAAACAGCTGTGGCAAATACGCTCTGCTAGACTGCAGAAGGAGAAAGATATTACGATCCATAAATTACAGCACATGCATATTGTAGATATAATAGTCTAAGAGACCATCTTAAAGACAATCTTTCAAATGTGCATTAAGTTAATTCTTTCCTTCACATATCATGACAAAATATTCTCAACTCAATGTTCCCATACAGTCTCACACTTTTCATCAGTGAATTGAAGTTGTTTGAAAGAGCTAGTCTGTTGTAAACAGTAGACAGTAGGCAGTCAATTCTGACCTGTCATGTTATTTGAAAACACATTTTAAAATATTCAGTATTACCCCTACAATTTCTTGGATTTTACACCCTGTAATGTTGCCATACAGAACAATTTCTGTATGTCATTTTCAAGATATTGTCAAAAGATCCCTTAAATGTCATAATGTCATTATTATCCAAAAGATACACATTTGTTCTATCAAATTTTTCACAATTACAGTTTTAACAGGGGGACTTTTGCTTCTGATTGTTCCAGATGAGGTTATTGTCATTTAGTCTTATGAGGATGAGCTGTCTGCAACAAAGGCACAGTTGTTATGACAAAGTAACATATAGTAAGAATACAGCATTGTTATTATCAGACCACAGTAAAATCAAACTCTATGGTCTTCCATATCTGGAAAACATACAATATTGTAGATAAATTCTAAATCTAGAAAAAAAGACAGAAAACATATTGTTCAACAGCCCAGATATCCCCATAATGATCACATCTGAACACATCCCCCCGCCACTGAGTGTCCACATCCACAATTTCCATCATTACTGTACCTGTCAAACACAACAGCTGAGAGACTGGGCTCAGAAAAAATTACATCTCCTGCCCAAAACTCCTTGGTAGCCTTCAGACCCCTCCCCTTTCCAGGTGAGTCAAATATTGCCACGTTCTCCATGGTAGCTGCACTGGTTCCTGAGATTTCTGGTGAGCGGTAGAACAGATGAATGAAGAGTGTTTCAGTGGTAGGGAGAAACTAAATACAGGGATAGGGTAGTTGAGGAACTTGTAGACCAATCTGTGCCCTCTGTGTTCTTCAGTGACAACTGCACATTCCACACCAGAGGTACTAAAATAGCCGTCCATCTCTTGAACTGTACCACCAGACAAAAAAATGGGTTAGTGGTTATTGTCTCATTAGTCCACTGAGAAACAAAATATCTTGAATATCTTGTCACTTAAACTATCAAACCTGTCTGAAAGTAACACAACTGAAACTCATGTTGCTCTCTCAAAAACAAAGAGGTTTATTTAAAGTTGTGGTCACTGCTTTTTGTCCTGTTAACTGGCAGAAATTCCCCCACTCCCAACCATGAATTGGTAGGTGCCCGGTCCCTAAGGGTTATTTTTGGCCATCAGTTGCTGCTGTCTATCAGTAGTCTGTGGTGACGCTGGACAGCTGCGAGAAGTTTGACAGAAACAGAGCTGATCTATCTCACTGCCTCTACCCTTTTCTGGTGCTTTCTCTAACTTACTTTCTCTCTTTTTGTGAATGCAAAATAAGTTATGACATAACAGAACATCATAACTTTCACACACTGTAGGGAAACCATTGGGTCCCCACAAGGTAAGTCAGACCCCACAACATGAGTGGGCCACCAGATTTGGGTCCCCACAGTGTGCTACAAAGAAGGATGGACAAACATAAATACATAATGCATATACACACTAAACATCCCTCATACACTTTTATTCACACCTTTTCTGCTTGGCATGTTTGACAGTGTTTCACAGACCAAGTATTAGAGATTAGCGTAAATCCTTTCAGATACAGAATCATATTCATATATTTAAAAATGAATGCAGTTTCATTTATAGATTGTTTGTAGTACAATGATGTAGTACAATGTACAATGAACAGAAGAACTGAAATAAATAGCAAAAGCAACAGGTTTGGAATAATTGAAATGTATTTAATTGGGCTACAAATTGATTCTTACATTTAGAAAAATAAAAAAACACAAAACATGAAAATCGACACACACAATTCTGATGAATAAATCTGCCTTGATAACAAAATAACAAATAACAGGCAATGAGGCCTTCAGACAGAGATTTATAAAGACTCATAGACATTTATTAGTCCACTGAGAAACAAAATATCTTGAATATCTTGTCACTTAAACTATCAAACCTGTCTGAAAGTAACAAAACTGAAACTCATGTTGCTCTCTCAAAAAAAAGAGGTTTATTTAAAGTTTAGCTACTGTATGTTTTTACTTCATGTATATTTGTTCTTAACTCTTTCTACTTAAAATAAGCAAGAGAGTCAGATGCAATAATTAACTTTTTTTAAAGTTTAAAAAAAATTCTGACTCATATTAATATCACACTTCAAAGAAGTCGAGGTGTTTCCCTGACAGGAAATTGTTGTCCAGAAGCAGCTTCATCAGTTTGGCTGCAGATTCCTGGCAGGGTAACAGATGGTGATTGGAACCTGTTAATCTCCGAATATCAACCTGCATATCTGTGTCCATAGGACCTGAGGGAAACCAGAAGGATTAGAGGGTTTTTAAAAAAGTCATATGTTGCCTTTTGTGCTAATATATTACATGCATACTCGATTGTTAAATATGGAGATATAGTACATCCTCTCAGTTTCTTTTGTTCTGCGTTCTGGCTTCCAGGTAAGTGATTTGTTTTATGAGAAATACCAATATTTTATGTTTCTATGTTTGCATGTGCATGTATGGGGCCATTACAGGTACAATTCCAGATTTGATTCACAAGCATCACTGTACATTTTTAAGGCTAATCCAACATTTGGCCATGGGACAACATCAGAGCATTTTGGCAACACTGGCACATTTAAAGTGATCTTGATTATTATTCATTATCCGTGTTAAAAATCTATAAAATGCATACATATATTCAATACACCTTGTGTCTTAGGATTTTTGTCACAGTATTGCTTTACAATGACACAAATATTTCTGTAAATAAACTGCTAGTCAGTTACATGCCATTGTTCCAATGGCCCATTATTCTGAAACCCCAATAGTCTGATTGGATTGAAAGCCCATTTGTCCAATAGCCCATTATTCAGAAAACAAACGGTGTTGGTATTTCAAAATAATGGGTTTCAGAATAATGGGACGTCAGAACAATGGGCAATATATAAAGCTGTATGTACCTGGAGAGTAGCTGAGGACTTTGACATTTGGCTCCTCCTCAGCCAGCACCCCGAACATCATTTTTCTTGCTGCTTTGGCAGTGCAGTACAGTACCCAGGACGGTAAGGCCTGCGTTGCAAACACTGACGAGACATTCACCACGCTCCATCGCAGGCCCGGTCTACATGGAAATACCTGCAGTATTCCTGCAGTCAGTGCGAGAGCAGAGCTTACGTTGAGGGACAGATAGGAATTCACCTCATCAAGGTTGGTGAAACTCGCAAAGTGGGAAATGTCACCCAAAGAGGCTGGAAGCAGAGAGAGAAGGGATGGGTTGGTGTGAGGAAGGAGGTGGAAAGGTAATACAACAAAGAAACATTATTAACATGAGATGAAGACATGAGAGTTCAGCATACAAAATCAGCATTGAGTAGGCTACTTGGTTATAGATTTTGTGATTAAGACTCACCAGCATTGTTGATAAGAAGCACATGATCCATTTCATTTATAGCTTCCTGCCTTGCCACCCTGACTGTTTCATGCACACCCTCTCTCGTGCTCAGATCAACAGCTATGCAGTGAACCATGAGCTGCTGGTCCTTAGTCAAACTCTGCAGCTCTTCCTTCAACTCTTGCAGCATAGTGTTCGAGCGAGCCACCAGCAGGAGGACAGAGCCAGGCTTCGAAAAGTAGGACACCTGGATGACAAGATATTTGTTTGTTTGCTTGTCTTTTTATCTTATATTATTTTTTTCTACAAGTTGATCACTTACTTCTTGTGCCAGCGCCCGTCCGAATCCCCTGGAGGCTCCTGTGATGATACAGATGCCCCGGCCCAGAGTCTTGGGGTTTGTAGAATAAATGTCTTGCATCCTGTCAAATTTTCTCTGATGATCAGATGATCACAGAAAGGTGAAAAAGTGGGTCTGAAACGAGGATTGCAGTTAATGTGAAATGAGAGGACAAGAGCCTGCTGCTTTTAAAGAAGGATGAACACTGAGCCACTTTTATAACCACATGAGTCAGCAGAACTAATGTTTCTCATGTTTTATATTTCACAGTGTAACAAGAATCAAGAGAATGGAGAGTTAAACAACCATTTATCTGGAGTGTGTTACATAAGTAAAATGTGTTAGATTTAAAGAAGTATTTTTAAAACCATTTGGTATTTTTAATTAAAGTTTTATAATTTATAACGTTTTAAAATACAAAATAGCTTTCTGACTAGCATCATCAGGAACTTCATAAAATGTTATTTATAGATAACACTTTATATATTTTAATATAATAATTTTAACTACTTCTTTTTGTTACACAGAATTTTAATTGTGGTAATATTACACACATTAGCCTCCATGCATAATCACATTTGTAAGTTGTTTTTTTATATATATGTACATATTTTTACATTTTATTTCTATTAACCTTTTTTTAAATCTGTTTTGTTTTCTCTCTTTCCTTTTTTTCTGCACATGTCAAAGTTGGCCTGGCTGTTGATTCTTGTCATTGCATTATAAAAAGTTTCAAAATAAAATGTTGGGGAAAAAAACTTAAGGTATTGCAGTTAAGTATACAATAGTGGATTCTTCCAGAAAAGTATGGCTCTAAAGGATCTTTTAAATTAATTAATTTTAAGATGTGGGGAAAATGTTTTACTTATAATACATTGTGCACGAAAACAAAAATCCACAGTGTTATTTCAGACAACAGACAGAAAGGAAGAAGAAGGATGTATTACAAATTATAATCGTGTGGCCATACTAAAAGTAAACAAGATAAAGAAAGTTTATTACAGACATTGGTCAGAAAATAAATACATAAAAATGAATAATAAAACATCCAAATGATAAGTCCAGGCTTGATGGAGCTTGTACAGTCTAACAGCAACCTTCGTGCATTCCTTGATTGATATGAGTGAACATCACCACCTGGCTATGTTTAATTTAATTAATTAGTTAAATCCTCTACCTTGTGTGTGTTAGATGACTAACATAATCAATTAAAACAGCTTGTGACATGAACTGTATGCCTATAGAAATTTTTGAAAATCCCCTGGGTACAATATATAGCTCCTAGAAGAAAGGGTTTTTTCGAGGCATGTGACACTATCTGTGGCTTTTAAAGTATAATGGAAAACAATGAAAAGACTTCACAGTACAATAAGCAAGTTACTCTGAATACAGGTATTATTTAATCATTACTTAAAGTAATTATAGACAACAACAGGTAACCTTTCTCAGCACAGTGATATAATCAGTTATTTCTCACAGTCTTAAAGGACTAGAAATCTAATGATGTGCCATTAACGGCCTCGGTCACATGCTCTACAGAGCTTTGTAAGAGAGGCTTACAACACCATTCTATGTCTCTGTACTAATAGTGGTCTCTTATATCAAATGTGCAACTCTTATGGCCCACATACAACCTTATATAGGTTAACAGCATTGTTTAATTATGATTCTTTAGCATTAATAACAGATACAATTTACGCATTAACTCCATCTGCACCAGCTACAACATTAAAATGATATTTATACATTAGCACATCTGTCCTGTCGTACAATATATTAACACTCTGAAAGAGGTAGTAATTCTCTATAAAGAGTTGCTAAAAATACTTACTACAATATACATTATATTCTAATAATAAACAAAATGTATGTTTGTTGTATGTATGGTTATAAAATTGTGACTCCCCTTGCCTTAGCAGACAGACATAAAATAAAGGGGGAGAACAAAGAGCTGGGGTCTAATTTTGCTGGGCTGTATGTTAGAATTAGTATCCAAAGGGAGGCAGAAAATCCCTCAAGACTTGAAAGATGAAGCTACTGACTTCCCCCAACATGCTTGCAGCAGTATTGCAGCATTGAGAGTCCCAGTATTGGCTGCCCCCTCATGGACAGTCAAGTAAATGTCACAGAAAAAGGGCCTTTTTTTGCCAGATTTGCCAGTTTAATAGTATGTAAAGGTTACACTGAAAATGAAAAATTCAAATGAAAATGAATTTGTGTACACACTACCCATCTACATACTTTTAAAAAATATTTAAAAACATAAAACATACATACATAAGGATAATTAAAATAAATAAAAGGAAAAGCAAAAAATACTCACATTTGTGTAGCTGCAACCATGAAATGTTTTGGCATGAAAAATGACTGAAACAATTCTCCATATAGCTGCCTATTAATTTTCTATCAATCGACTAATTGTTTCAGCTGTACTTGTACATTTTCATATGTTTTATATGCAAAGATCTTAACTTGTAGAGCTGTCAAATAATTGTAATGGAGTAAAATGTACACTGTTTCCCTCTGACATGTTGTGGAGTAGAAGTATGAAGTACAACTGAGATGGAAAGACTTAAGTATTATATTTTATATTTTTATATGACACCACTGCACAGTAATAACTGTCCTCTGTGAAGTCGAAAAACCGAAACAGATGTTAAAGTGATCACTTGAGAATTAAATTCAGTAGATGAACTCCTGGTATTGAGCATGCTGGTATTACTTCCATTACTGGGACACTTGATTTAAACTACTCAAATAATGTTATTTGTTACACTTTTGCTTTTCCTACTATGACAAGTCTGCTGTGAAAACCAAAAAGAATGGGATATATGTATATATGAATTCTTTCCACATAAGGGAATACTCACCAAAAAAATGAATGACCATCTTACCCTGGACTTTTGGATTTACTTTGCATGTATGCTTTGTGCCTTAGATGTTCCTCCCATCCTGCAGGGGCACTAGTGCTCATTTCCCTCACCACCTCAGCAAGAAAGAAAACAGTGAGTAAAAACTCCAAATACCTGTAGTAAAAGAGATAACAGGAGAGGATACAACAACCATAACAGATGTGCTGTCAAGTAGTTGTAGCTTTGCACAATTTTGGTGTCCTCTTGTCCAGTTGTGGTGGTTTAACATAGCAGGAAATGTTGCCAAGAGGAGGAGAAACATCTAAACCAAGGAAATTCAGAAAAGTTCAGATGCTACTGCCAAGAAGACACAAACCCATAATTAAACGATTAAAAAATATCAGGAACAGGAGCTCCACAATGAAGGGCTGCACACTAGATAAAAAACACTGAGTAAAATAAAAAAGAATCTGGTAAATCTTCAGAGTGCATTGTTCCAAATACCAACAAGTATTGATCTATGAACGGAAAAGGAGACACAGGGGAAAGGAAACTGCTATTTAACACAAGGTCAGGTCACACAGAAATATAACAGCTAGAGAAATAACAGTAGGCATTGAGGAAATGCAAAGTAAAGATGACAAGCAGTCACAACGTGCAACACAACCCAACTGAGGACTGACACATCTGTTACAGAGCAGACGGATACTTCTTTTACACAAAATAAGGAAAACCTGCCTAATATGGAGTTACAGGACTCTTTGGCAACTTGTGTGTGACCACAGTATCGTACAAAACAAGAAAGTAACAGAAAATAAACAATTTTAATTAAGACATACTTTATAATTCCTATATTCCTGTAGAAAGAACATGACATTTACCATTTGCCAAATCTGTTCACTCACAAGTCACCCAAACTTTAGGAGTACAATACTAAATTGCTGGAGTACTCATGGCTGCTATGTAATTCTTACAGTAAATACTGTGGGGTCCAGTGGGGGCAGGTGTAGTGGAAAGCCTCCCAGTAGATTCTGTAGTGATACAGTTCACCTGTGGTTATTTCATTCAGAACAATTGTGATTCTGTGCTGATGAAACGTGAACTAAATCCCTCTGTTGAACTTGTTACTTCAACTCACTTAGTTCTTTTGACAGAAAACTTCCAGAATAAGTAGTGTAACCAAATGTATTAAAGAAGGTTTTGTTTTTCTCTAGTCAATATTACTATATGAACAAATGATTATGTCTAACATGTAATCAATCAAACTCATTGTTTTGGTTTTACAGCTCGTATTTTTTATGTTTGATTCAATTCAATCTCACTGCTCTCATAAGCATTGTTTACAGACACACACAAACAGTTTTAGCATTAAATGTCTGTATAATATACCTTTCCGAAAACCAAGCAAAGTTAGCAACTAGCTGATGAACAAAGTGGAGAATTTAGCATCTAAAGAGACAGATATTTATCTCATGAAGGAGTTGATGGAAAACCAAAACAGGATTTTTGGAGTTTCTTTTATTACAGAAAACTCCAGACTTTATGTGGTGATAAATAGCTTGTTTTCCTGTTTCCAATTGGCCAAATTCAATCAATGTGGGTTTAAGTTAGGAGAATTTATTGGTTTTTTTTATCTTATTTATTTTTAATTTCTTAAAAAATGGGTGAACTTGTCATGCTTCTTTTTTTTGTGGGGTGCAAACAAAGACTTAAACAGCAAATACACTGTAAAAATGGAACATGACCATTGATACAAAACATTTATTTTCTAAAATAATAATAATTTCTGAGTGATCTGGTGACGCATCCAGCCTCACTACTGTTTCCACCCAGCATCTCATCCACCACCCATCCGGGGTGGGGGGGAGACTGTATATGACTCTATAGGCTTTTCCCGAGGGAGAGCACTGGATTAATGCCAAAAGGGGGCGTTTGTATCATGCAGCCGGAGGGGCGGGACCAGAGGTGGGTGTGTGTCTCTCAGCTGATGCGCGTATCAACCGACCGACTCCATCATCAGCATCCGACGCTGACAGCGGTCGAAGACAGCAGCATCCCTAATATTACCGACCCACGGTAACACCGAAGAATAATACAGAGCCCGGCCGACCAGGACTGACGCCGCTGTCTTGTGACAATAGTGTTTATTGAGGCTGCCATCTTACAAAACCGCCGAGCTGCAAAATAGTGAGTAGCCTTTGATGATGGACCGCCAGGATGCTACAATCGGTAAATCAAAGCCACTGTCGTCAATGTCAATGACGCTGCTGTGTATATTAATTTAGATGTGTTTTTTTCTATTCGGCGAGGGTCGTGCGTTTA